CCGATCAGCACCACTCAAATTTTTAAAGTGGAAATTAGTCTTCCTACTGGCCCTCGCCTCAGGTAGGCGTCGACTAGAGCTGGGGGCATTGTCCTTCTTGGATGATGTACCGCTGTTATGGACAATCAAGTTGTGCTAAAGACACGAATCTAGTTTCTCGCCTAGAACCAAATCCCAGGACACGATGCGCACCCGATCGTCATCCCCCGGCTGTCAAATTTTGTCTGCCCGGAGGGTCAGGAGGAATTGCTTCTCTACCCGGTTCGAGCACGGAGTTGCCACCAAACCGTACTAGGATTTGGAACGGGGTGCTCGGCACACATCTTTGTGTTATGGCCCAGGCAGGCAGGATAGGCCGGCCTCCCCAACTTCCATAACCAGGTGGTTTACTGCGACTGTATTAGAGGTCTAATACTTTATATTCCTCGACACTGAGCTCGCAGACACCAAGTACGAGCGCATGAGGTCTGTGCGATGGCTAACTCTCTAGTGCTAGCGTCAGGCACCCCCCCCCCTTTGAGCACACATGGAGGGCAGGCTTTATCAACTACCATCTAAGAGACACCGAATCCATTGATAAGGGTCTCTCTAGGTTGGGTCCCGTCGTAGCGGGTCAGTCTTGGTTTGCTGACCCAGCCCGAACGACCGCTAGGGTCCTTGCGCATAGGCAATAAGTCAGTCCGGCATTTTATGCGGACAGATTTCTCTACCATCAGCACTCCTCTGGGAGCTCCCAGGTCCCGCTTTATGGCCTATGCCCTCATGCAGAACTGTTTCGGTCTTTACTTCGAAAGCTTACTACCCCCCAGAATTTGGTTGGGGTCTAGCTTTCTCGAGCACACCGAACCCTGTCACCATAGCAGCATTTCGGCTCCTTGCTCCGGGGACAGCACAGGCAAGGTAAGACACCACCCTTTTTTCGGTCTTAACTAGAGTGTTGAGTTTGTTTTCTGCCCGGACTGGGAAAAGACTTTCATCATTTTTTTTCTGTTTGCTCGGAAAAACCTGCTACCTATCAGTGTCTGACTCTGCCTACAGTTCAAAATAGTCATTTTAACTGACCAGAGTCTATGGTGGGTAATTGAACGTAGTGAATTTAGGTGAGGGTTCTCCGTACCCGCCTATTCACATAGCTCATACCCACCATAGACTCCGGGTTCCCCCCAACCTCCCCACTCTTTCCGTCGCGTTGGTCTAAGTCCTCGAGGCGG